CCGTTACCATTAGCTGGCTCCACAGTCACTTCTTAGACATTAGCCGTTACCATTAGCTGACCCCACAGGCACTTCCTAGACATAAGCCGTTACCATTACCTTGCTCCACATGTACTTCTTAGACATTAGCCGTTACCATTAGCTGACTCCACATGTACTTCTTAGACATTAGCCGTTACCATTAGCTGGCTGCACAGGCAATGCTTAGACATTAGCCGTTACCATTAGCTGGCTCCACATGTACTTCTTAGACATTAGCCGTTACCATTAGCTGGCTGCACAGGCAATGCTTAGACATTAGCCGTTACCATTAGCTGGCTCCACATGTACTTCTTAGACATTAGCCGTTACCATTAGCTGACTCCCCATGTACTTCTTAGACATTAGCCGTTACCATTAGCTGGCTCCACAGACACTTCTTAGACATTAGCCGTTATCATTAGCTGACTCCCCAGGCACTTCTTAGACATTAGCCGTTACCATTACCTGGCTCCACAGTCACTTCTTAGACATTAGCCGTTACCATTAGCTGACCCCACAGGCACTTCCTAGACATAAGCCGTTACCATTACCTTGCTCCACATGTACTTCTTAGACATTAGCCGTTACCATTAGCTGACCCCACAGGCACTTCCTAGACATAAGCCGTTACCATTACCTTGCTCCACATGTACTTCTTAGACATTAGCCGTTACCATTAGCTGGCTCCACAGACACTTCTTAGACATTAGCCGTTACCATTAGCTGCCTCCACAGGCACCTCTTAGACATTAGCCGTTACCATTAACTGGCTCCACAGTCACTTCTTAGACATTAGCCGTTACCATTAGCTGACTCCACAGGCACTTCCTAGACATAAGCCGTTACCATTACCTGGCTCCACAGGTACTTCTTAGACATTAGCCGTTACCATTGAGAGTTTGGACGAAACAAGTTCAGTTTGACTCTGTTTTCTTCGTTATACGCTATGAACACTAAGACTCCCAATGAAGATTTTAAAAGATTATTTTGATTTTTTTACACTAATAACATAAGCTTGACATTGCCCCCTACTAAGTCATATTAACATTAGGATTAACGTCTTATTTCCTAACAAATGGGAAATATTAAGATTTTACAAATAGGTTTGTGGATTGAAAACTATAAAAGGGAAAGAAATAGAACAAATAGTCGCTCTGATGGCCGTGCTCCTGTTACGTAAAACAATCCTCTTGTCACTATTTACTGTAATAACTGCCAAGATCGTTACATTAAAGTGTATGGCTAATCACAGTTTTATATAAAGACTATTTATTTAAAAGATGAACGTTACACACGCACAGCTGATTGCACCGTTTACAAATTTGTTAATAGATGCAGTATGTCAAAAATGAATTACACGGCATCCATCATAAAGCTTAGAAGTTATAACGGGAAAGGCAGCGCATACTGCATCGGTGAGCAGTACATAAAAATGGGGAAAAATGATTGTTAGGTACGTGCAAATTAATTCAAATATGTTGTACATTTGTTTTCTGTCCAACAACGTCTCAGATTGCTCCTTCAATATGGTATTTGCGGGGTCACAATGGTGAAGTGAGAGGCCAAAATTTACAACTGAACGGGGTAGGGAAGACACAACGTGTTATATATATGACTTGTACTATCCGGGGAATGACATCGGTCAAGGGGGCATAACTCTGGTTTTATATGTGATCTGATGGATTACTTCATTTAGAGGTCAACTTCAGTTGCATGCCATATGTGTGATTCAGAGTTCCTCCGTGGGGACGTCAATGGGTATATATTCAGAGTTCCTCCGTCGGGACGTCAATGGGTATATATTCAGAGTTCCTCCGTGGGGACGTCAATGGATATATATTCAGAGTTCCTCCGTGGGGACGTCAATGGATATATATTCAGAGTTCCTCCGTGGGGACGTCAATGGGTATATATTCAGAGTTCCTCCGTGGGGACGTCAATGGGTATATATTCAGAGTTCCTCCGTGGGGACGTCAATGGGTATATATTCAGAGTTCCTCCGTGGGGACGTCAATGGGTATATATTCAGAGTTCCTCCGTGGGGACGTCAATGGGTATATATTCAGAGTTCCTCCGTGGGGACGTCAATGGGTATATATTCAGAGTTCCTCCGTGGGGACGTCAATGGGTATATATTCAGAGTTCCTCCGTGGGGACGTCAATGGGTATATATTCAGAGTTCCTCCGTGGGGACGTCAATGGGTATATATTCAGAGTTCCTCCGTGGGGACGTCAATGGGTATATATTCAGAGTTCCTCCGTGGGGACGTCAATGGGTATATATTCAGAGTTCCTCCGTGGGGACGTCAATGGGTATATATTCAGAGTTCCTCCGTGGGGACGTCAATGGGTATATATTCAGAGTTCCTCCGTGGGGACGTCAATGGGTATATATTCAGAGTTCCTCCGTGGGGACGTCAATGGGTATATATTCAGAGTTCCTCCGTGGGGACGTCAATGGGTATATATTCAGAGTTCCTCCGTGGGGACGTCAATGGGTATATATTCAGAGTTCCTCCGTGGGGACGTCAATGGGTATATATTCAGAGTTCCTCCGTGGGGACGTCAATGGGTATATATTCAGAGTTCCTCCGTGGGGACGTCAATGGGTATATATTCAGAGTTCCTCCGTGGGGACGTCAATGGGTATATATTCAGAGTTCCTCCGTGGGGACGTCAATGGGTATATATTCAGAGTTCCTCCGTGGGGACGTCAATGGGTATATATTCAGAGTTCCTCCGTGGGGACGTCAATGGGTATATATTCAGAGTTCCTCCGTGGGGACGTCAATGGGTATATATTCAGAGTTCCTCCGTGGGGACGTCAATGGGTATATATTCAGAGTTCCTCCGTGGGGACGTCAATGGGTATATATTCAGAGTTCCTCCGTGGGGACGTCAATGGGTATATATTCAGAGTTCCTCCGTGGGGACGTCAATGGGTATATATTCAGAGTTCCTCCGTGGGGACGTCAATGGGTATATATTCAGAGTTCCTCCGTGGGGACGTCAATGGGTATATATTCAGAGTTCCTCCGTGGGGACGTCAATGGGTATATATTCAGAGTTCCTCCGTGGGGACGTCAATGGGTATATATTCAGAGTTCCTCCGTGGGGACGTCAATGGGTATATATTCAGAGTTCCTCCGTGGGGACGTCAATGGGTATATATTCAGAGTTCCTCCGTGGGGACGTCAATGGGTATATATTCAGAGTTCCTCCGTGGGGACGTCAATGGGTATATATTCAGAGTTCCTCCGTGGGGACGTCAATAGGTATATATTCAGAGTTCCTCCGTGGGGACGTCAATGGGTTTATATTTAGAGTTCCTCCGTAGGGACGTCAATGGGTATATATTCAGAGTTCCCCCGTAGGGACGTCAATGGGTATATATTCAGAGTTCCTCTGAGGGACGTCAATGGATTAAGAGTTCCTCCGCGGGGACGTCAATGGATATATATTTAGAGTTCCTCCGTGGGGACGTCAATGAGTATATATTTAGAGTTCTTCCGTGGGGACGTCAATAGTTATATCAATTTTTTTATGACGTTCATTTTCCTGAATTCAGGTGGTGTTCATGATGTAGTCCACCTCGTTGATTCCTCAGAGAATATTCATTTTTAGAGAAAAAAAATTGTCAGGCTGTGGCGCCTACGTGACATTAAGAATACAGTTAAAGGTCGATTTATCGGAATTCAACAAAAGTAAACACTGTGTGGTATGCTTGATATCATTGGAAATTATTAATTACAAAATGATTAATATTATATATATCATTACTGCTTCTTACCTTGATAGCTTATCTTGAACTTTGACTTAAACGTTGAATTTTATTGCAAAGTGAAATGCAAATAAATTAATTGTTTAAATTTGACATTGCCAGATCGACGTCGATACTGTCATACTCTGTGCTGATATGTCGTTGTTGTCAGATAGGACTCCAGTATTTGTATCGGTTATAGTCAATGTATGTGGTTGTAACACAGCGGGGAACTGGGAGGATAATGAACCTAAAATAGATGTTTTGAGAGTGAATGGCAGAATTATTTGCTAGATTACATTTTGAATAATATTTTAAAGTTAGTTATAAATAGATTAACCCTTTATGATTGGATGCAGATTTTTTTGTAGAATGTTATAGTGGTGTTTGTAGATTGGATTTACACAGGTAAAACAACCAGGATTTAGTATACTTTATGAGACATTCCTGTCAGATTTTCTACCATCTGTAGGTTCGTCCACGTTCATATAAATGTTAATATACAGTTAAACGTTAATATCTTGGACGATTCGTAGGTAGTCAATAACAGCGGAGATATTTTGTGATACAGCTAGTAGTACGTCAGTCGAACGCAGATGAGTCAATTTTTAATTATTTTAAAAAACGTCATTAAATTAGTTATAAAATGGAATTGCACAAAGGGTCTTGATATCGGAGTACCCGAAGACAAAAATCAACGTGGTCGGGAAAATGATCCATACCTTTTCACCCCACCTTGGGAAAGGCGGCCAAAAGGACAGGAAACACATCGAAACGTCATCAAACTTATATAAGAGTTACATTTTGGAATGGTAATGGAAACAATTATTCACAAATATGTAGACCGTTGGAAAAGTAATAGGACGAACGAAACGCTTATGAGGTGTGATTGACTCATCAATATTAATAACTTAACTATCCTCACTTCAAAGTAAAATCAATGTAGACCGATAAACTAAAATTATAATTTAATCATCAACACTCTAAGCAGTGCATTTAGATAATATTGAAGTAAATAGCTATTATGCAACGCATTTCGCTACCAATTGAGTTAAAATGAATTTAAAGCTAATGCGTCAAATGTTTAGGTTTAGGTTTTTGACGTGGTTTTGTCCTTTTTTTGCTGCTCATGTAGACAACGACCTGGTTTACGTGAACAAATCGTCATGTATGCTATATTAAGTTAGCTTTGCATTATATAATGAAAGACAAAGACAAGTGATAGTTTAAGCGTTTAATGGTAAACGAAATTGAGACAAAAGTAAATCAACAGTGAGAGTAGCAGTAGATATGACGAGAGTAAAATACACACAAAAAAAATGGTTTATAGATTTATACAACAACACGATTCACAATCGTATAGTAGTACACATGATTTAGCTACTATCCGTTTGAAGTGCTGTACTGCTCCATAATCTGTACATACATGCATAGGACCAACATCCCAACACTGCTTTGCTTCGTCATGCTAAACAGGGATGTGTAGTGTCCACTACACTTCGTCATGCTAAACAGGGATGTGTAGTGTCCACAACACTGCCTGTGCTAAATAACAGTGTTAATAAGAATAAAGCGCAAATTATTACTTCTATCACTTTTGAACATCCTTTTTATCAAAGAGCTTCTTTTATATATCAAAATCAATTAAGATTTATATTCAAAAAAATCACTTGTTTTTTTATTTTTTTTATCAAATGTTGTATATTATTATTATTGGAACCAATATATATGTTCGGTATAATTCACTGGCATAAACGTCATATTTTATGTCATTATATACAATATTATATAAGCATATCCGTCATTAAAAGATAAAAAAAGAAAAAGAAAATAAATAAAAATAAAAAGAATACATTTTAAGAACAGGAAGACCATTTTTGAATGAAAAGTAAATTTATACTAACAATAAGGAATTAAAAGAAATTCAAAACGTACCGCGTAACATAGACAAGTTAAACAGCTTATTGTGCAATATGAGGGAACTTATTAGAAAACGTACTATACCTTTTGTGAAAGTAAGATATACATATTCATATCAATCAGAAACCCGGAGAACATTCGAAAAGGCGTTATGATTTATAAAGACATACCAGTGCTTTATGGTTCTTTATATATGATAACTGTTCGTTTTCATATCAGGTTTAACTTTGAAATTGACAATAATAATGATACATTGCTACACGTTAATTTAATATTCCTGGTAAAAGTGTGGCATTAACTATCAAGCAGGTATTCGATATAAGCCCTGTGTAGGCAGGAACTTAATCGTATGTATAAAAATGCGAAAACATAAACAAATAAAAAAACGTCTACATTTGGAGTCAGAGAGATAACGTTCATAGTGTATCGTCTTCAGAAATTGAAGAAGTTGTACACTAATTCTCCGACTATGAATAACATAAACACATTTAGAAGACAATATATATTAGGCAGATTTGAGTTGTGATATTTAAGGAAGTATAAACAAAAATAATACTGTATTAAAGCATCTATTTACAGGCGGATAGTAAATAAAACAAAAAGTAACATTTTCATCGCTTAAGATAATGTTACAATCAAATCGTACTTCACGGCAATCAAAGAAGGGAGTTCGGTTTGAGAAACAAATGGAAGACAACAAGATAGAAAAAATGTCTGTTTTACAGAAATGTAAATTAGATATCCAAAATTAAAAATACTAATATAAAAACAATATTTCTTTTTGAAATGTAATTCACCATAACCAGTATGATTACTGTCACACAAAGATGTCTTTTTATCCGCAGTGAAGTCCTATGATATCAGGATAGCAGTGAAGTCCTATGATATCAGGATAATAGTGAAGTTATTCTGTTAGGATTGCAGGAAAGTCCTATGTTTTCAGGATTGCAGGGAAGTCCTATGCTGTCAGGATCACAGGGAAGTCCTATGCTATCAGGATCACAGGGAAGTCCTATTTTATCAGGATCGCCGTTAAGTCCTATGTTGTCCAGATCACAGGGAAGTTATATGCTGCCAGGATAGCAGTGAAGTCTGTTCTACCAGGATTGCAGTGAGGTACTATGCTACCAGGATTGATATAAACATGTTGTAACACTCGCACCCAATGTTTGTCGTTTAATAGCCTCGATTTCGGTCTTGTGTCTGCAATGCAATTCAAGGAAATACAGAATGATACATTTAAAACAAAATATTTGTCTATATCAAAAATGTTAAAGCCATACCTCTACATTTTCTTGCAATAAAATGGCCAGGCCTTTACGAGTATCACATTTCGTTTTACTAGAGTTCGTATTGCTTACTCTGCATAAAATATTAGAACATGCAAATGAAGACGATTTCAAGCGTCGATATTTACCTGTCCTCCTTCCTGTATTTGTACGTGTTCCTGAATAACTTAGACACGGCTATTGATCATTTGGCTTTTGAAATTTAGTACCAATGACAAATTCTAATGATGTAGTAATTACTTTCCGCTGGATCGGCTTAATCATCTTTTAAATATTTTAACAGTAGAATGCAGGGATACATTTTAACCTTGTTTTGATGAAATAATTATCAGGTAGATTTGTTTTTTACAGTCACGATTTTCTTTCCGCAGAAACCAGTTTAACGATAACATGCAGTTTTGGCAACTAAGTAAAATGTCTACCTATTTGCTCACGCGTTCATTTATTTGTTTCATTATCAATAAGATAAGAGTTAGCAATATATTTTCAACGTGATACTTGTTGATCAACATGTTCTTCAAATTATACGACCTAGAAAAATAACTGCTATTGTAATTGTAATAGATATAAATCAAAGGTAATTTACCTATATATTATCTTAAAAACATTTACCGGTAAATGCGTAAGAGTAGTTTACGCAGATTTAAAGAAATTAGATATATCATTGCACACAATACAAAAAGACAAGAGCATAAATCCCTACTTCATCCGTGAGCGCTTCCAAATCAACTAAAGTGTGTAAATAAATTATCTAGCACCTGTCATATAATAATTAATGTGTTTTAGTTAACTTAAAACCATCATCATTAAAAGGAGTTCAATTTAGAAAGTAAATCGTGTGCATGTGCATTATTGTTCCAATCTGGAATATTGATTTATGTTAAAAACGAATACATGTCCTTGTCCTGTAGTTGTAAGTTTACTTTAAATTACCTCCGTCAATAAGCTGGGGTCGCGTTACATGTATATATATATATGCTGCGCTGGTCCGTTATTCAGCTTTGTATTTATCATTTTGAACAACACAAAATATCTATTTGACAGAAGTCGAAGAGTTGTAATAAATGTCGTAATTTATCCCAGTCTCAAAAAATCAAAGCTGGAGTCTTCAAGGTTCAATCTTAGGTCCACTGTTATTTCTCATATACCAAAATGACATTGTTGCCGATATTGTTTGTAAATTGAAACTTTCTTTAATCCTTTACGCTATCAATAATGACCTTTCTAAAATACAGATATTGGCAGATAAATGGTTAGTAAATTTCAATCAAGGTAAAAACCTAATTACTGATAATACGTAGGAAAAGTAAACATTTAGGAGTTTGGATGTCTGCCAATGGTAAGTGGAACACTCTTATGTTGATACATATTAAAAGTTTATCCACGATAAGGTGTATTTAGATATCTAAGAAAAATTCTCGATGAAAATTCTCCCTAAACTATAATTTCCTTTTATAAGACATATACAAGAATCTTCTGCTAAAAGCTGCTGAAAAGTAACAGGTTCACCAAGATTTTCTAGTAAACATTTAGTATATAAAGAAGTGGTGTGGAAAACTAGAGAAAAGACATGAACATTATGAAATTATACAGTTTCATAAATGTATCACAAAAAAAATCCAGCTTTTCTGTCATCCATAGTCCCTAGTAAGAATTATAATAACTTAGTTTTAATTAGATGTGGAACCAAATTTTACAAGGACTCATTAAAACTTTTCAATACATTTGTAACAGAAAAGAGAATAGTGCGCTTCCACCGGGGGTCGAACCCTCGATCTCCAGGTTCCTAGTTGGACGCTCTACCACTGAGCTAAAGGGAAATTCCCTCTAGCTCTAAGCTAGAAGGCGACCTGAATCCTATGTAAATTGAACCCTGCCACACTACTCCCCTCTTTTTAAATGTGTTCGACCTCGAACACCACAACCCAGGCTCTAACTCCCTGTCACCACAGGGAGGGCCACGGACACCATTTGTAACAGGAAAGAGAATAGTGTGCTTCCACCGAGGATCGAACCCTCGATCTCCAGGTTCCTAGTCGGACGCTCTACCACTGAGCTAAAGGGAAATTCCCTCTAGCTCGAAGCTAGAAGGCGACCTGAATCCTTTGTACAATTGAACCCTGCCACACATTTATGGAATACGCTACCTATTGATATTCGTGGAAATCCGTCTGTAAATATTAAGAAAACCTTTCCTCAAAAAGTTTAGTAGAAGTCCCTACATAATATCAGAAATAGAAACCTACAAATACTACATACAAGATAAAGGCTAAAATGCAGCAATTTGAAACCACACCTGTTGATAAGGAGGCAAGCCCATTATATAGATGCGTATTAGTTGAAAATAGTTACCATTAATTGCTGATATGTAACAATTATATACCATATAATAAGACAAAATACAATGTTATACAAATAACTTTACTTATTACATTCCGTCAAAGGTTTAATTAATACTTACTTGAAGGTGCTGCGTTTCCCTTCTTCTTCCTTTTATTTTCTTATCTCCCTTGATAATATATAATTAATTTGTGTGTATTATGTAACAATTTGCATACAATTGTTATCATATACCACGATAGCAGGTTAAATAAGAACAAAATAAAATTATTATTTTTGTAAGCAATGTTTATGATAAAAAATATCTAATAATTCGCACTGCATATAAAATGGAAATTTACAAATTGAAATTGTTTGTTACAGTAATTTTTATTCTAAATATAATTATATTAAAACTCGATAGGGCTTATCATTGCATTTCTTTTTATTCTAAATATGTTATTTTGTAACCAGATCTAAGACTATTGTAACTAAACATATGTACAATCGAAAATGTTCATTATTGTACGTGCAGTTTCTATCCTACCCTTTATCGTATTCCGTCTTTGCGTATTGCAGAGTTATCTTCTCTTGGGAGCAGGTATTGATTGTTACTTCACTTGTTTGTGAGAGTAACGTCATCAATTTTTGAGAAAACGACGTAATTTTCTCGCACAAACCAATGACGTAACAATCAATACCTGCTCCCAAGAGAAGATAACTCTGCAATACGCAAAGACGGAATATATATTACATGCATAAATTGAAAATATCTGTTATTGAGTTGTTAGTCAACATGCAGGACGTACTGCATGTATTCATGTGAAATAACTGAACATTTCATTCTGAATATATTATATTGTAACTAGTACTGCATGTATATATGTGTAAATTGAACGTGCTCGTTAGTGTAGTTTATATTGTAAGTACATCAAAGTTATGCACAAATGTGTGACTGCGACCATGCGCGTGTGAAACCACGCTTGAGAGAGTTTACTAAGCGTAAAACCTTACCCGATTATTGAATAAAATATTGTTGTTGTTGTTTTCAAGATTATCCCCAATTTTTTAATTACTCAAGGTTCCGATTATATTTTAGAAGTGTAATTCTCCATCAGAATACCCTTGGATCATTTTAGTACCCGGTTTTTAAATCACGCCAAAACGTCTGTAGACCAAACGTCCATCATACCCTAATTAATCGTATATCGCGTCGTAATTTAATTTACATTGCCTTTTGCGAGTATTTTTCACAGTGGAATCAAATGGATTGTATATAACAAGCGTTGCAGGCATGTAAAGCACTATCGAAAACCGCCAGGTTTGACTAGTAAATGCACAAAACCATAATTTAGATTTATATTGTATATTGTCATGCCGAAATATTTAATAAAAAAAAAAATGATCCACCTTAAGGATATATTAGCAAAATCAAAACATTGCAAATAAAATGGCAACAATGTAAAGAACGACGAGGAATGTATCCCACTGTTAATCAAGAGCGTAATGGAAAGAGGAGAAGTCTTCTAAACTTTTCTGATGGGCCTATGTCAGTACATTTTCAAATAATTTGAAATGAACCTGTTGATCTTATTTTTTCAATTAAGTATTTTTCGTTAAAGCTTTACCGAATTGGTCGTGTTTTCGCATGGATATTAGGTTTGATGAATATATTTTTCGATCATGAAGAATATCGTACATATCAAATGGATGGTTTGTCGAATGTTTCCCTTAATCCCTGTAATGATGTTTTTTATTGCAAGTGTAGCAAATCAAAGAACTTCTTTCCAACTTTGATATTTCAAATCAAAATTGAAGACGTAATTTCGTTGGGTTTGACGGGGTATATAGAGGTGAATGCAACATTTGTGCACGGTACATTAGTTATTGGAGGTTCATTACACCTTAGTTATTGGAGGTTCATGACACCTTAGTTATTGGAGGCATATGACACCTTAGTTATTTGATGTTCATGCCTCCTTAGTTATTGGAGGTTCATGACACCTTAGTTAGTGGAGGTTCATGACACCTTAGTTATTGGAGGTTCATTACACCTTAGTTATTAGAGGTTCATGACACCTTAGTTATTGTAGGTTCTTGACACCTTAGTTATTTGAGGTTCATTACACCTTAGTTATTGGAGGTTAATGACACCTTAGTTATTGGAGGTTCATTACACCTTAGTTATTGGAGGTTCATTAAAACCTTAGTTATTCGGGGTTCATGACACCTTAGTTAGTGGAGGTTCATGACACCTTAGTTATTGGAGGTTCATGACACCTTAGTTATTTGAGGTTCATGACTCCTTAGTTATTGGAAGTTCATGACACCTTAGTTATTGGAGGTTCATGACACCTTAGTTATAGGAGGTTAATGACACCTTAGTTATTGGAGCTTCATGTCACCTTATTTATTGGAGGTTCATGACACCTTAGTTATTGTAAGTTCATTACACATTAGTTTTTGGAGGTTCATTACACGTTAGTTATTGGAGGTTCATATAAAAAAAACTTAGTTATTGGAGGTTCATTACACCTTAGTTATTGGAGGTTCATGACACCTTAGTTATTCGGGGTTCATGACACCTTAGTTATTGGAGGTATATGACACCTTAGTTATTGGAGGTTCATGACACCTTAGTTATTGGAGCTTCATTACACCTTAGTTATTGGAGGTTCATTACACCTTAGTTATTGGAGGTTCATGACACCTTAGTTCTTGGAGGTTCATTACACCTTAGTTATTACCATATTGGAGGTATATGACACCTTAGTTATTACTATATTTGAGGTATATGACACCTTAGTTATTGGAGGTTCATTACATCTTAGTTATTACCATATTGGAGGTATATGACACCTTAGTTATTGCTATAATTGGAGGTATATGATATCTTAGGTATTGGAGGTTCATTACACCTTAGTTATTACCATATTGGAGGTATATGACACCTTAGTTATAGGAGGTTCATTACACCTTTGTTAGTAGAGGTTCATTACACCTTAGTTATAGGAGGTTCACTACACCTTAGTTATTGCCATATTGGAGGTATATGACACCTTAGTTATAGGAGGTTCATTACACCTTAGTTATTGGAGGTGCATTACACCTTAGTTATAGGAGGTTCATTACACCTTAGTTATTGCCATATTGGAGGTATATGACACCTTAGTTATTGGAGGTATATGACACCTTAGTTATAAGAGGTTCATTACACCTTAGTTATTGGAGGTTCATTACACCTTAGTTATTGAGGTATATGACACCTTAGTTATTGGAGGTTCATTACACCTTAGTTATTGGAGGTATATGACACCTTAGTTATTGGAGGTTCATTACACCTTAGTTATTGGAGGTATATGACACATTAGTTATTGGAGGTTCATTACACCGTAGTTATTGGAGGTATATGACACCTTCGTTATTTGAGGTTCATTACACCTTAGTTATTGGAGGTATATGACACCTTAGTTATTTGAGGTTCATTACACCTTAGTTATTGGAGGTATATGACACATTAGTTATTGGAGGTTCATTACACCGTAGTTATTGGAGGTATATGACACCTTAGTTATTGGAGGTTCATTACACCTTAGTTATTGGAGGTTCATTACACCTTAGTTATAGGAGGTTCATTACACCTTAGTTATTGCCATATTGGAGGTATATGACACCTTAGTTATTGCCATATTGGAGGTATATGACACCTTAGTTTTTGGAGTTTCATGATGTCTATACCGTTTGTTTTCAGGTCACTGTTCCGTGTGTTGGCCTATTCCTTTTTAGTTTTCCAAAAGTAAAATACCAAAACAAAAGTTTATCAAGGAAAGATAATGTCCTTCCAAATCAAATTAAATGAAAGGCTGGGTTATCAAAATCATATGCTATATAAAGGCGAACTTACTGTTTTTAGAGCAGTCGAACATGTTCTGTATTCGTTCTACATCGCTGTCCGTCAACTTGACCCTCTGTCCCATGCATGTCTTGTAGTATTTGCTGTTTAACACTATTGTATCTTTATCCTTTGAGAAGCTGAATGCCTTTGGACCGTAGTGGAGAATGGAACAGGGATCATAACCGATTTTTGTGTAGGTCGGTTTTACTTGATTATCTGACAGTTTAATGAAATTTGTTTCCTGTTTTGGCAGTATATTTTTATAATTGATGGTGATGTAGCGATCCCTGTCCGGTCTCGCATGCTCATGCCAAAATCCCAAGGCGTGCATAAGTTCGTGCTTAACAGATCCAGCGTTAATGTTTCGTACGGTACTGACTGTTATGTTATGAGGCTTCTTTTGCGTTGCTTGTTTCCCAACGGCGGTGAAATATCTAAAAATTAAATTTGAGTAATGTTGAATGGGGGTTGTCAACCGATATTAGTTTCATCAAAACAAACTTTAATTCAAAGTCAACTAGATTAGGAAAGGAAGACATTACACAGAAACTTGTAACAGCCAAGTAATGTGATATTCTCTCAAAAGGACAATAGAGATAATGTCAATGAAACTATAACAAAAACACTAACTAACATAAAATACCAACAAAAGTACAGCAATATGATTGTTATTATATTGGGTATGTATCCACAGGTTATATAGCTACGTTTGATCAAAACATTTGGATGACCTGGCTTTTGCTTTTCCCTGAATATATGTTTCTTAGTCTTTCACTGCCTCATTTGGAGCAGGCCAACTGCTAAACTAGTAGTTGCAAATGGGTTACTATGGTTCAGGTAAAGTATTATGATAAATTATTATGGTAAAGATTAAAGCAGAAAGATTCATTGTTTATACCAAATATTTCAGACATCACCCCTAAAAAAGACCGACAACCACTCTCATAGTATAACTGTAGGCATCAACCACCTCGATAAACACGTATAAACTTGGCAAGATAAGTAAAAAATAACTTCGTTCTGTGTTATTCAAAAATCAAACAAACTCTCTACGCGACTGTTTTCTCTTATGTCATACAAGCTTTATATTTATGTGACATACAGAGGATAAGTGATTTTTTAATGATTTATTGTTATTAACAAACATTCATATAAATGTAAACACAACCATTTTTTTCGCCATTAATATTTCATTCAGTATTTCATGTACCTTTAAAAAATAACCCTGATAAGTTGTAAAGACCTGTTGGCTATATAACTCAAATCCAGTTTGTTATAAGGTGTTTTAAGATTTATTCATTTAAAAGCTTAAGGAAAGTTCAAGCAACGACACAATTTACATTTTAAAGCGTAATCCTTTTTACTTAAAAGGAAAACCTGACAACCTTTCTAACAATATTTCAGACTGATCCTCAACTTATCGCCCAGGAAAAAACACCTTTTTATTTTTATGTTGGTTTCGAGAAAAGATATTCAAGAAAGGCAACTGTATACAGGAAAAATAATTACATAATGTTGGTTATGAAATATATACACGTTATCAAACTTAACCACTTGACTTGAAAAGTAACCAAATTATCTGCAAATATCATGTGAACGCATGTAAAGCTGATACTCTGAATGCGTCTAACGTCTATTGCTATTTAAAACTAGTGTGTTGATTCTACCTATATTTATTCTTCATAGAAAGTGACTTCAACATCATTTACAAGATGACAATATTGATAAATAAAAAAAAAGGAGATTTGTTCGAAAGGTTTTTGGTCATTATCAATGCAAATACTATCTACGACAAAAGTCCTTGTATTGCTTATGAAAATTTCAATAACATATATTTTTAATGTATGTAAAAATGATATGGCCTCACCCTGATCCTTTCTTGAAGAGGATATGCTGGTCGTCCGTAATATGTTCTTCTTCCGTTAAAGAAAATGCACACGAGTCGGTATCCTGTTGTACCCTTGTTTCAACATCCTTTAACGCACCTCTGATGGCTTTTTTCTGTTGATTGTCTGCATATGAGAAAACAAACAAGGCATGGGAGGTAAAGAACACTGATAAACATATCAGATATAAGACAACAACTTAATTTCGGCTAAATTTACTTACACAAGCGTTAATGTTTTTTTCATTCATTTAGGTAACTGATTCCTGGAACCGATGCAATCAAATATATGCATACTCTCCAACTGAGCAAAAAAAAGACATCTTTTAATTATCTAATAGTCAATGAATGTTTTACATGCATATATTATTGTCATGTATGATCTCACGATTGATGGAACGTTTAAGACTCATATACTTGGTTTGGTTATGATTTTAATCATTATTCATGATTGATTAATGGTTTCCCAGAATATTTTCTATAAAATGTTTGGTCTACGACGAGCTTCTTGCTGGCGAATCTTGAATTCGTGAGCAGGCAATTCTAAAAATAAATAATGGTTCTTCATCTCAGCGTAAATGATGCTTAGGAATGTTTTTGTAACATTAAACGTGGATTTATAAATAATAAGAATGTATACCGACGGCCTAGTTGGTGCAAACTATTACGTTAATGTAACATTCATCTGGGTTACACCTATTGAATACATATCATATTCAAGACCAAAACTGCAAATGATTCAACCTGACGCTTTTCCTAAGCATACCGATAGTGATATACTAGAAATTTCCCTTTTCAGCGCTCAATTTACCTCATTTCATTATATTGTTTCAATTATCAATCTGTCTTTCAATTTCTAAAATAAAATCTTCTTTTTCGTTTGCAACTTAAGTAAAAAAGTTCTGATATTATTTACTGGTGCTATACAGCTTACATGTAATGTACTAAAATAAGGCGACAACACGACAAGAAAGGCGGCACGTAAAATGGTGTCACGTCAACACGAACAATGTCGTTTAAATAACTGTACTAATCTGAAGATGCCAGGAATGCACTGAACTAGTTGAAAACTAAATTGTGAAAAGAAAGAAGAATACAGCAAAACAAGACTTCTGTGACATTATCATTGACTGAAACGTTCAGTCTGTCAAAGCCATCGTTTGGGACAACAAAATTATGAAATATTTCACCGGATTCTTTTTCAAGTATTTCATGCGTTTGGGGCAGGAAAAAAATATTTCTGAATTACCCCGGTGAAACCGGATGAAACTGTAAAGTTCTGTTTTTTTTCCATTTGGTACGTGTTTCCCAATCTATACCGCAAAGCGGTGGCGCATTTTATTCGTGCTTGTCACTTGCAGATCGTATAATATGAAACTACGTACCAAACATTAATCAAGGAAAAAAACATGCTTTAAACTTAATCAATACACATAATTATGTCCAAGGCTCATTTGTGAGAAACCATACGAGTTCATATCTCCAAACCTAATCAATATGAAACCATTTATCCAAGCTTTAGCTATATGAAAATATTCCTCAAAATCTAATCAATATTTATTATTATTTCCTTTTATATTTTCATCATGAAACTAAGTCTCCAAACTTATCATTGTAACACAATAATGAGCAGCATTGAAACCATATCTGCAATCTTTATCTGTGCTTAAAATATTTCTAAACAAAACCTCATCAATGCCAAATCATATATTCAAATTTATTCAATATGATATCATATCTCCCTGACTTAACTATGTGAAACCTAATTAATATCAAACCAATTCTCAAAATCTAATCAATGAGAAAAAATATCTGCAAATCTTATCAATATGAAACCATGTTTCAAACCTAATTATATCAAAACTTTGTAAATCTGAAACCAAATCCCCACATTTAATCAATGTGAAACTATATCTCAAAACATCATTAATCGAAAACCATATGTTTTCACTATTTTTTCATGTTAATCTCGTCAGTATAAATTCAAGCTAAACTTTTTCATCTTACCTCGGGTATGATTCCACCACACTGTTACTTAATACATCACTAGATGTACCATGTCTCCAAAACTAATAAATATATAAACCATATCTCCAAACCCTAAACCATATATCCTAACCTTAAACCATATCTACTAACTTAATCAATGACGATATATACAAATTTACTTACCAAAGGTGTCTTCAATTTTATATTTAATTTTAGGCTTCCAGAGTTTTGTTTTTTTAGTTACCACTCTTTGACCCTAAAAGTAAAAAATCAAACATTTATAATTAAAGCAGCTGCGAAAAATTCATGCACAGTTATAAAATAAGCAATATAAGGCTGAGGGTATGTGTTTTGGTTTTTGTTTTGTTTTTGTATTTGTTTTATTTAAATAGATCTGAAATGTTGTTACTAAGTGATATTTTGGTCATACATTCTTTAAACTCACATTTTATTTTATGTTTTATTTATTCATATGGATAAGGCAGTTCCTTCCCCTTTATTTGAATCAATATATAATTATCTAACATCAATATGCATTCCCTTCTAGGTTCGCAGATATTTTGTTCATAGTATTAACGGTGCAATATCTGGCATATCATAAGATACAAACCGGCAATATTTTGGTGTCTTGACAGAGAATATCCCCTTCAATAAGATGCTGGTTGCTTTTTTTCAGTTCCATATGCAGATTGTCTTCATGGGAAGAAAAATATCAAATAATATAAATAATGTATTACTACCTTATAGAGTACATATGTACCACAACAAATGTTTTTGTGACATCCATATTAAAACGTTTATCTTTTACCGACTGCTGTTACCCGTAACTTGTACCTTCAGCCTAACATAAAATTTCAACCTGACACTATTCCGTTCTTTTCTTGTTATCTAATATTAAAAATCATAAGTATATATCTTAATACGAAAGAACATGCTGTAGAGGGAGTTATTCTAAGGTCATCTCAATTCAGCTGTTGTAGTGTTTGTGTGTTGATAAAAGCTTGTTAGGAATGGAGTTAAGTAACTGTAAGAAATGGTTGAGGTACTTTGCATTTGAAGTACAATGGTATGTCAGTATATAACATTCCGCGTTACCTGAGAGTCATGACTATTCGTTCGAACAGGCAATTTACTTGTGTTTAATCTTACATTACATACATATATTTAACATGTTATTTTCTACTGTGGCTCAACGGTCATATATATGATACAGGTACATGCTAATAGGGGAAATGGAATGGGAGAGTGTTGGAGTATATTACAGTTGTCGGTGTTCTCCTCATGACATAGATCGCTTGTACACGTCTGAAATAAAAATAAAAAAATCTACTGCAGTGATTTCTTTTAAATACATACAAAACCTAGCTACTAATACACCACATCTTTTCAGCAAAATCAGAACACGTAAGCAATGGTATAACTACTTTAGTATGTTGTACATTAATATACCTTAAAATGAATGTGAATAAATATTTGAAAATACCTGTCCTGGCGGCCCTGGCAACTGTCCAACTGCAATGAAATGAAAACAATCGTTGTTAATGAAAACATACATTGACGTAGTCTATGCATATACCGAACATTTAGAATTGTATGTTCAAAACATACTCCAAGATTTGCTATGTTTTAATTTCAATGTTAAGAATTTGTTTTAATTGTCTTACAAAAAGATCAATTCTTTATCTAACGATTATAGCGTAGCTGTTGACTTTTTGAAGATTATGTATTTAACCATATATAATTATTAACGTCTCTGAGAATAACACTGCGAGTTGTTTCTCCCTTCATAAAAGTACACTCCAGGATGACTATGACATATCTATTAACACCCATTCTCCCTAGGTCATTTGTTAGATATATCATATAGTGTCTTATAAGATATAAGATATCATATAAGTTATATAACATAACTTATACAGAACTAAATTCTTGCGAGATCGATATGAAATAATAATAGTAGAAAAAAGTGGTCCAGACGGGACCTCATCGCTACCAATCATTAATGAACAGTTTTAATAACGTAAGCATGATACCAACATTTTCATTTTTTTTTTTTTGAAAACTTATTTAGATATAATTAACAAATGTTTTTATATTATATTGTTCCGTTTTAATCAATATTGTATAACATGGTCTCCGCAGGAGCTACAATATTGATTGAAACGGAACAAATAAAAGCGATTTCTCTCAGTGAAAATTTAGAGCACCCAATCAACGGATGTTTGCTTATGATGGTGGAATATATCACGAGAGTGAGCTTTCTTTTAGAAAAAAATAATATACGAAGGCAGCTTTGGGCTGAGTTTATAATTTTTCCATCATTATCGACTCTCGCTGTATATTTTCCACCATAATATAAAGACATATGTTAATTATAGAACATGATATTATCGTTAAAGTTTCGAAATTCTCGAAATTCCATCATCTTCACAACCGAAAAATATATAAAATAAGGAATAAGAGCTATATAATTCGTTTATGTTGATTTCAAACTTGCCGCAACTTCAGTTTAAGGTCCTTCTCTACCTGTAATAATTAACGTTAAGACATAAAAACAGACTGCAAATCCCTATACAAATTATTGCATGTTAAATTTTTGCTAATGGGTACTCAAAGAAATAGTATAAGTGATATGACTGTATTCAGAAAGTGATAGTTTATAAATGGTAGGTAAATCTAATACAGATATCTTACCTAAGGAAAAACGCGTTTTGTCACACCCTTGCAATAATAACTTTTAGATTTTAATTGTATAGCAATTCTAAACTAGGTGAATATATGTCATCAATACAAATATATATTTCTGACTACAAGTGTTCTGTAACTATATTAATAAATATAACAATTCACAACATATATGGCGGTGCTTTAACCATACCAACAGATTGTTGAAATCGAACGTTCAATAATGCCCACAGATTTCAAATATCAGCTGACGGTATAAAAAAAAAATCATGATATCATCAAATTGCTTAAAATCAATGAATTTATGATGCATTATATAACAAATGCAGATTTCACTGTTAATGTTTAACCGTTTATATACCTTACATGTACTAGAAAATGGCAATGACATATGCAACCATAACAACTGCTTCCTTAAAAACCGTTACAATAACTATGTCGGTGTACTCACATTTATTTTTAAAGGCACCAGTACTTTCTGGTGTTCGTGTTGCACAAATGTCTACATCCTCAGCCTGAAAAGAAAAGAAAGAAAATAACAGTAAATAGCAAACGCCGGGTAAAATTATATCTGATATCAATCAATTTGTCAACACCCATCACTGAGAAAAAGGCATCAGTGACAGTGTAATCAATCTGATTTAAAACACTACACAGGAAGTGCGTCCATCATATAGTCAACCATATTGAAATGGTACAGGGGCAAAACTGTTTACTTTACACATTGAATCGAAAATAAAACAATACGATATAAACATTCTTTTCACCAAGAACAATTAGTATGGTCCTTACGCCAGGCTGTGTGATATTTCAGTTATTTCTCTAAACAATATTAAAACGTTGTGACATTAAGTCTCTTAGTTTGTGTTGTTTACAACTTGGAAATAAAACAAAATAGTTTCTGATGAATTATTGTACTTACTTTATTATCTGTGTTGCCAATAATCAGGGCATGTGAGCCGTGAAAAAGAATGCACACAGCTACCATCGCCCTCAGGCCTGTCTCCAAGCGCATTCTATTCGAAGTAGAAGTTTATTTTAATACACATGCATTAGATATATTTCATGAATATACAATTAGTGCAGTCATACGTATGTGAGCCACCTTATGTTTCCTTTGGTACAAAGGACACATATTGTCAGTGGAGTGGCGTCATATACAAATACATACTTTGTATATGTTCTAGGTCGATATGACGTTATATTTAATATCAAAATTTAACATTATACGTGTATCTGCTTCTACATACAAACATTTGTTTATGAATATGAAAAGGAAAAACAACTCTTTTAATTTGTTTTTTGTATTCTTTTACGGCCCATCGACAACTTTAGTCATTCAGGGCAAAACAACAGTGAACTAGATATTCACAAAAAAAAATACATCAAACTAGAACTAAAAGGTTAAAAGTCAAACAGACGAAGAAGCCATGACAAATAAATTGGAGTTAAAATATAATATGATATTTTTTCGTACATATTAATGTGTAAATAACCATATATTGATGATAATAAAACTATCAATTAACTTTTGTTTATTATTACATTTTACATTTGTTTTCACGCACTTATTAAAAATCTGCACATCCAATCATGAAATGGTTCACACTGAACGGTTGATCAAAAGCATTATAATAAGGTTGATCTTCATGTGAAACATAAGACTTTGTAGTGCTGGTATGGACTAAGCGTCGTCACAACGTCCTCTCTACAGTTTATATTACTCGTTGCAAAGGAACTCACATTAACTAACAATTTATTTATTTTGACTATTAATGTTGTCAAATCGTTTCAACAAAATTTCTTTAGTGAGGTTTAAAATCAGAATAAGACAGTTTAAAATCATCTGGTTGTAGGTTAAGCAGCCCTATCTACTCTTATTCAAGTTTTCCTGACATGACCAGATATCCAAATTACGATCAAATGACAGAACAATAAAGTCATATTCATACAACTGATAATCTGATATGTACTTCAAAACAAGAGCTGTAGTATTGTGTCGGGAGAGTTTTAGATTTATCGTTAATATGCGATACTAATTTAACACCAGGCTGCCGAATGGTTCATAGTAAAATGTCAGGTATACTGGCAATTTCAGTCGATGAAGGTTTCATAGTCGTATGTGGAAGTTTCTCATTTTGTTCGAAAAGCTGTGTATAATTTTGATGTTATACTGACCGAAAAACCTGGGTTTTCTGGATTTGTGATCACTGGAAAACCAAGTGGCGAATCAATTTCGCTCTTTCCCTGTAGGTCGGAGAGAATATACCTCCTGTTACCCCTGCAAGTTCTAAAAGGCAACTAATGATGGAACCCCTGCATACTTGGGATTTTGTTTTGGTGCCCTCTACTTAAGGACACAACACTGATTAAACTAAATCTGTTGCACCAAATGCAACGTTTGAGATTTTGTTTTCTTCCTACCTAATTCCTCTTTGTTACCTAGCAATAGCTCACTTTTGGCATCCTTTTCGATTGTTCGCCAAATTGGGAAAGACATTGTGTTCTATCTAAATAGTTTGGACATACCAACACACATATACACATACATTACATACATGAAGGCACGTCCTTAAAAAACCTTAGCGATTCATAGGACGTTAAATAAAATAGAACCATTTGTATATACACAAAATCTATAAAATTCGAACAAACAGAGGTTATGGTGGCCATCTTGGATGCACAGGTGCGAATATATAAAAAAAACTCTCTTACTTTACACATCGACATATCTTTCATAGTACTCATGTGAAGGTTCTTTGTCTACTTTTAGATTTGGAAAAAACTTTTGGCGGTGGGGGGGGNTTACTCCCCAAAACTTTGTTTTGAACACTTAACTCATATCTCATTCAATATAATAGGGTTCCGCGAACAGTTCCTTCTTATCCTTATGGAGAGTAACACGAAACTTATAGTATACGTATTGCGTATAGGTAATAAACAGTATACAATGTATAAAAAGTACAGTTTCAACATTTATTCCTTTCATAAAACCTTAAACCTTCGGACCAACATACACAATTGTATATGATACATAGTGTTTATTATTTGAATAAATAATATGAAAACACAGGTAACAAAGAAAGACAGTCCGGCCTCGAACTCATGATCTACGTCATCAAATTGTCAACAACCCGATGTTTTCCACGCGATTATGATTAAATACCGGTTATTTATACAATTCGTACAGATGTCATTAGATATTAGACCAATACATTCTCAACAGTTAGTTATATATTGAATCTTCGGAGCAACCAATATATATAAAATGACGTGGATTCCTATAGGCACTATATGTACTAATTCAATTAACTTGATTATAATAACATGGTTATGACATATAACCATATGTGTATCGTTGGTATGACCCCAGTTCTAGGCTAGCGTTTATGTACAGTCGTATGTCATATATATATATGTGTATACTACTTCAGCGTGGCAAGTCAACTATGACTAAACATATATTTATAATCTTTATACGATACACAATAACTTTATTATCACTTCAAACACCGATAGTATCGTAGCCGTTCATCAGACTCTTATAACACTGGTAATTTATGTTACATCGTACGTAACTGGGGACACCCGAATGATATATGGATATGTACTAAGCCTACCCACAAGCACAGCGCAGTCAGTTACGCGCTGTTTATATATTTTTTATTTATCGGTAGCAACAAATATTGATAGATAAACTGTTTTGAATCCAGATGACTGGAATATTAATCTTAACTCGAAAAGGTAGCCGGGTCTCATTTATTTCCTTATATTAACTATAGTTAATTCGATTCGGTTAAGTTGAGCAATGATGCGTCAAACTAACACAGATATGCTGATCCCTATCCCTAGCTTATTATCCTTCCAGTGTCTTACTTCTTATCTGGACAAAGTGGGTTTACCAAAACCCTTAAATGATTTAGTGTTTCACTAGAAAAAAAGTGTTAGGTAAAATGCAAAAAAAAATAAAAAAAATGATTTGAACAATACTTTTACAGTTAACATCATAACCCGTCACAGCTTTGTAAATGTATTTAATCATTTCATGAAATAACAAATGGAACTCATAACGTTTGAGAGCACCTATTTGTTCAAGTTTTTTGCTGTGTACAATTTGGTACATTTGTGTTGGCGCTGTGGTATATCTTGTACAGGTGTGCTGATGCTGTGGGTTTTTTGTACATTTGTGTTGACGCTGTGGTATCTTTGTACGAGTGTGCTGACGATGTTCGTGTTGATGCCGAGATATATTTTGTATATTTGTGCCGACGCTGTGGTATATTTCCTACATTTGTGTTAATGCTGTAGTATGCTAACACTGTGATCCGTTTTGTTGATTTGTCACTGTGGTATGCCTTGTGCCTGTTTGTTAACGTTGTGGCCTATGTGCTATGTAGGGGTGTTGACATTTTAGTTTACTTTTTACAGGTGTGTCAACGCTATTCCCTATTTTGTAAATGTGTGTTATTGACGCTGTGGTATATTTTTGACATGTGTATTGACTCTGTCGACGCTGTGGTATATGTTTGACATGTGTATTGACTCTGTCGACGCTGTGATACATTATGTATGTTGGTGTTGACACTGTCTTCTCATTTCACACACTTGTGTTGGTATATTTTGAGAATGAATTTTGTGGTGGATAATGCATACATTGACCTTAACATCTATATGTAATGAAAATTCAAGATGACTTTCTGCATATCCTGTGTCACATTTGGGGATAGGTATATTTTCACAGATACAATTTCATTATGTAGGTTATTATTATACATACAATGAAGTCTTTGTTTATTCAGTTCAGAATCCTGTACCTTGTATCAGGATACAATTTTATAAAGGCGTGCTAAGAAGAGTTTTGGCAATTAAAGTGTCAATATCATAATGATAACATAGTTGTCGAATGAAAGGGATTTTTAATGTTAACAGTAAATCAAGAGATTCTTGGGGCTCTACGGTCACGTTTACAGTAGTAGTGTTTATTCAGAAATATGGTGTGATCATCCTTTGTACGCAAAGTATGAGAGTGTATTACCCATCACGGCATTATGAAAACTACGTTAAAACAATTCAGAACCGAAAGCCATACTTTCTTATGGCGATGTAGGTAATATGTCCGTTAAGTATCAATGAAATCCCTTCAGTAGTGTTTCAGTGACGGTTTAAATTGTAAAATGTTTACATACCACAGACATATAAAGATCGTAAAAGTTCGGCTCGAGTGATCTAGTCAAACAATGTTAAATCAAACTATCACAGAGAACTCTAATATTTCTACACAAGATCGACGAGATATCTTTGGAAAGGACTGTGTTCTGGCGAGGTTAAACTGGCTTGACTAGTACAACATGGTAACTGTTTTTGTCATATTTTTCAATAGACTGAGAACTGCCTGCCCTTAGTTTATTTTTTTCCCCCAGCAGGCTGAGATAGGTAAATGTGTTACATTCAATTTATCTAATATTTGGTACATTTCACTAGTTTGCTTTTCATGTTTTACGGATATTTATCCTTGTATTTTTTACTGACAGTTTGGGGTATTGCTTGATTTGTGAAATTCTATTTTAACGATATTGTTTGGTAAAGAATAACTTGATGAACAATACAAAAACAAAGCTGTCTGGGTAGGTCAGGTTATACAAAGTAGGCTGAGGTAAATAACTATTGCTTTAATGTTAAACAATACAAAATACTAACGCTCAAATATTTTTACGGACAAACTTTTGTTTATGACTAAGCAATTTTCATGAGGCAGTGTTCATACTGCTAAGATTATATATCAAACTAATTATCAGTTTAATCAAGAACCGTCTTTCGATTCGTGATATTGCGAAGCAATGTATGTTAATGAAAAAATGATTTTGACTATGTCCAAATTTTGATAATTTGTTAAATATAAAATGAGAAGTCATTTACGGGTAAACGTATTATTTTACAGTTTGCTCCAAGTTTACAAATGCCCAATAGAAAATAACATATATCAAGTAACATGTTATTAATGTGTGCGGTGCATTTTCCCGACCGAGGAAGTGCGTTGTGGTGAAACTGATGATATATGAAGATGTCATCAGGAATCAGTATTAAGCAAGGATGAAACACCACGCATATAGTAATTGTAATGGTCATATTATCGTTTTCATTATACTAGTCTTTATTGCATACTATGAAAGTCGATTTTTGTCTATAAGTATTATGTTAAGGGATGTCCTAAGGTTGTATGGAAACATTTCATCACTTCTTTACACACAGTGTTAAATTGTTTCATATTTATTAATTCAGATTTTCTATTTTCCGGCTTTTAATTAAAGATGACAATTTAATCAACAATCCACGATTTTGTGTTTGTTTCATTTCCATCAAATGTAAAAAAAAAACCAAAAAAACCCACAACAGTTTGGACATAAATATTTCTCGCATTTCTAATTGAGCCAAAAGATGACCTTTTACACAGTCGTACCCATGACTAGTTATTTCTATGTTAGACAAATAGCTGTGATAATATTTACAGACTGATTGATTAATAAAATATTGGGGAAACAATTAGAGAAATTAAGTTTTTAACCGCAACTGATAAACGTTTGCCCATTAAGTAAATGTATTGCATACAATGTCACTATAACAAACAAATAATGGTCAAATGTGAACATACAGAACCAAAACAGGATGCTATAATTACTGTATAAGCGCTATTTAATTACTTCCATTTCAGTTTATCAAAGAAGCAAGACGTACATTAAATAAAGTGGTTCTCATAGAAAATCAATTAGACGCTGAGTTAATCAGAGTATTAGTATCTCTTGTAAGACTACCAGCTACAAAAGACTGTGTAGTGAATAACTTAGACGATAAATCCTGTCATAAACCAAGCGCTCTTACATCATCTTACCTGAGTTCTTTGGGAGAAGAATGCCGCAAAGATTTCTTCTATCTCCAAAGGTGTCTTGCAGAGCTTTTTGAGAAAATCCAAGTAAATTGAACTAAACTAAAAGTTCCGTTCAATTTAAACAATATTCTACACATAACGATTACCCGAAAGGCGTGGTTTAAACAGCGGGCGACACAAACCACGTCCTCGTGGTGTATCAGTTGATAGCACCCCTCGTGTCATTTGGTGCGATAAAGAAAAGGCCCAACATATTTTGTCACAATTCATAATTTGTCTTGAGCATAATTTCATTGGTAGAGACTGGTTTCTACGGATACGCCAGAATGATTGCTATATCAGTTTGCATATTACATGATAGTAAGTGTTGTCAATCATAACACCACATTGTCTAAGTAACGAATTAGGCGACGTTTAGTAATCTCCGGATCTCTATCGCATTGGTCTTGGCCTGGGTTTGATATAGAGTATTACAATTAAATAATTAATATCTTATCTCTGGGGATTTGATTAAATAGTCGTTAAACTGTCAGTTAAATTCTATTAACGGGCAGTTTGTTCAACAAATAGAATACTAGCGTTACTGAATCGCACCTATGAGGCAGCTTAAACAAAGATAATCGTACTTTATATATAAATTATTTCTTACTTGGAAACGACAGCGATAATTTCATATATACTGGAACACCAAATGAGTTTCTATTTAAAAAAATACATGAAATATTTGTTACTGTGCGACGTTTAGAACAACCATGTCTTGTTACATGTAACACTCTTGGTGTCCTGTGGAAATCAAGATACATTTGTAATTAAGCAGTGGAGAACCTGCTAGTAAATAGAACTATGAGGATCAGAGTAGTTAATAGAAATGTGAAGATCGAGCTAGTGAATGCATCCGCGATGATCGAGCTAGTTGATAAAATTGTGAAGATCGAGCTAGATTATTGAACTGTGAAGGTCAATCTAGTATACAGAATTGTGAAGGTCAAGCTAGTATACAGAACTGTGACGATCAACCTAGTATACAGAACTGTGAAGATCAACCTAGTATATAGAACTGTGAAGTTCAACCTAGTATATAGAACTGTGAAGGTCAACCTAGTATACAGAACTGTGAAGGTCAATCTAGTATATAGAACTGTGAAGATCAACCTAGTATATAGAACTGTGAAGGTCAACCTAGTATATAGAACTGTTAAGGTCAATCTAGTATACAGATCTGTGACGATCAACCTAGTAGATAGAACTGTGAAGGTCAATCTATTATACAGAACTGTGAAGATCAACCTAGTATATAGAACTGTGCCGATCAACCTAGTATTTAGAACTCTGAAAATCAAGCTAGTATATAGGATGATCGAGCTAGTTGATAAAATTGTGAAGATCGAGCTAGTTAATAGATCTGTGAAGATCGAGCTAGTTAATAGATCTGTGAAGGTCAACCTAGTATATAGATATGTGACGATCGAGCTAGTTAATAGATCTGTGAAGGTCAACCTAGTATTTAGAACTGGGACGGTCAATCTAGTATACAGATCTGTGACGATCAACCTAGTAGATAGAACTGTGAAGGTCACTCTAGTATATAGAACTGTGAAGATCGAGCTACTTAATAGATCTGTGAAGATCGAGCTACTTAATAGATCTGTGAAGGTCAACCTAGTATTTAGAACTCTGAAAATCAAGCTAGTATATAGGATGATCGAGCTAGTTGATAAAATTGTGAAGATCGAGCTAGTTAATAGATCTGTGAAGATCAAGCTAATATATAGAACTGTGGAGGTCAATCTAGTATACAGATCTGTGACGATCAACCTAGTAGATAGAACTGTGAAGGTCAGCCTAGTATACAGAACTGTGCCGATCAACCTAGTATTTAGAACTGGGACGGTCAATCTAGTATATCGAACTGTGAAGGTCAATCTATTATACAGAACTGTGAAGGTCAATCTATTATACAGAACTGTGAAGATCAACCTAGTATATAGATATGTGAAGATCAATCTAGTATACAGAATTGTGAAGGTCAAGCTAGTATACAGAACTGTGACGCTCAACCTAGAATATAGAACTGTGAAGGTCAATCTAGTATACAGAACTGTGACGATCAACCTAGTATTTAGAACTGTGACGGTCAATCTAGTATACAGAACTGTGAAGATCAATCTAGTATATAGAACTGTGACGATCAACCTAGTATATAGAACTGTGAAGGTCAATCTAGTATATAGAACTGTGAAGGTCAATCTAGTATATAGAACTGTGAAGATCAAGCTAGTATATAGATATGTGAAGATCAATCTAGTATATAGAACTGTGAAGATCAAGCTAGTATATAGAACTGTGAAGATCAAGCTAGTATATAGAACTGTGAAGGTCAATCTAGTATACAGAACTGGGAAGATCAATCTAGTATATAGAACTGTGAAGGTCAATCTAGTATATAGAACTGTGAAGGTCAATCTAGTATACAGAACTGTGAAGGTCAATCTAGTATATAGATATGTGAAGGTCAAGCTAGTATATAGATCTGTGAAGATCAAGCTAGTATATAGAACTGTGAAGATCAAGCTAGTATATAGATATGTGAAGATCAATCTAGTATATAGAACTGTGAAGATCAATCTAGTATATAGAACTGTGAAGATCAAGCTAGTATATAGATCTGTGAAGGTCAACCTAGTATTTAGAACTCTGAAAATCAAGCTAGTATATAGAACTGTGACAATGAAGCTAGTATATAGATATGTGAAGATCAATCTAGTATATAGAACTGTGAAGTTCAATCTAGTATATAGAACTGTGAAGATCAAGCTAGTGTATAGAACTGTGACAATCAAGCTAGTTATAGAATTGTGAAGATCAAGCCAGTATATAGATCTGTGAAGATCGAGCTAGTTAATAGATCTGTGAAGATCAGGCTAGTATATAGAACTGTGACAATCAATCTAGTTATAGAATTGTGAAGATCAAGCCAGGATATAGATCTGTGAAGATCAGGCTAGTATATAGATCTGTGAAGATCGAGCTAGTTAATAGATCTGAGAAGATCAATCTAGTATTCAGACATGTGAAGGTCAACCTAGTATATAGAACTGTGACAATAAAGCTAGTTATAGAATTGTGAAGATCAATCCAGTATATAGATCTGTAAAGATCAAGCTATTATATAGAACTGTGAAGGTCAAGCTAGTATATAGAACTGTGAAGATCAAGCTAGTATATAGATCTGTGAAGATCAAATTAGTATATAGATCTGTGAAGATCAAGCTAGTATATAGAACTGTGACAATCAAGCTAGTATATAGAACTGTGAAGATCAATCTAGTATAAAGATCTGTGAAGATCATGCTAGTATATAGAAATGTGACGATCGAGCTAGTTAATAGATCTGTGAAGGTCGAGCTAGTTAATAGATCTGTGAAGATCAATCTAGTATTCAGACCTGTGAAGGTCAACCTAGTATATAGAACTGTGAAGGTCAACTTCGTATATAAAACTGTGAAGATCAACCTAGTATATAGAATTATTACCCAATAGTCTATATAAATTATAATTAGTCATTTTTGACTATTTCTGGCCTTTTGTCCAATTTCGGCTGTAGGGGTGAAACAGTCAAAACTGTTTTCCCGGTCGGAGCGAACTGTTACCCGGCGCGAATTCGATGCGCAGAAATCCCCCCTCGAGCGCCCCGTTCAAGCGTTTCGGTGACCGCGACTCAGTGTTGAAGCAATTGCAACATTGCATGCAGCATTGATACTAATATTTATTTGGTAATAAAACAATTGTTTCATGGTTATTTTGGGAACAGTCAAAACTATCATCCCTCGGTAGGGGGAAGCCCTGTGGAACTGTTTGCCCTTGGCCTAGCGGCCTCGGGCAAACAGTTCCCCAGGGCTTCCCCCTACCGAGGGATGATAGTTTTGACTGTTGCCCAAATAGCCATGAAACAATTGTATACTGTGCAATTAAACCTAGTATATAGATATGTGACGATCGAGCTAGTATATAGAACTGTGAAGGTCAACCTAGTATATAGAACTGTGAAGTTCAACTTAGTATATAGAACTGTGAAGGTCAACCTAGTATTTAGAACTGTGAAGGTCAAGCTAGTATATAGAACTGTGAAGATCAACTTAGTATATAGAACTGTGAAGGTCAACCTTGTATTTAGAACTGTGAAGTCAACCTAGTATATAGAACTGTGAAGATCGAGCTAGTTAATAGATCTGTGAAGATCGAGCTAGTTAATAGATCTGTGAAGATCGAGCTAGTTAATAGAATGCTCGGGATCGAGCTTATTCATAGAAATTAGAAGATCGAGCTGGTTAATAGAACTACGTGAAGATCGATCAAAAATAGAAAGGTGGACATCGATTTAGTAAAAAAAACAAATCGATCTAAATAATAGAACTATGTGCAGATCGATCTAATTAATAGAACTATGTGAAGATCAATCTAATTAATAGAACCCTGTGACGATCGGTCTAATTAATAGAGCTACGTGAAGATCGATATTATTAATAGAACTATGTGTAGATCAATCTAATAAATAGAGCTACGTGAAGATCGATCTAATTAATAGAACTATGTGTAGATCAATCTAATTAATTAATGTACGTGAAGATCGATCTAGTTAATAGAACTGCGTGAAGATCGATCAAATAAATAGAACTGTGTGTAGATCGATCTAATTAATAGAGCTATGTGAAGATCGATTTAATAGAATTTATTTGAAGATCGACCTAATTAATAGAGCTATGTGAAGATCGATCTAATTAATAGAACTACATGAAGATCGATCAAATTAAGAGAACTATGTGAAGATCGATCTCATTAATAGAACTATGTGAAGATCGATTTAATAGAATTATGTGAAGATCGATCTAATTGATAGAGCTTTGTGAAGATCGTTCTAATTATTAAAACTGTGGAGCTCGAACTGGTTTATAGAAGGGTGAGTACCGAGCTAGATAATAGATTTCTGAAGATCGAACTTGTACATACATGTATATATTTTTTGTAGTTTAAGCGAGTACATTTATGTATAATCGTGGAGATCGATCTAGTTAAAATATCTGTTGAGATCGAAATAACTCATAGAATACTGATAGTAGAGATCGAACATAGATGTCTTGATTTATGCAGATCTATACCAAACTAGTGACTAAAAGTGTGGAGAACTAGCTTAGGTCTATGATTTTGGTGATTAACCAAGAAAATAT